GTTCCCTAAAATATCAGATTCCCAGCAAAAAGCTTTACACCACTCAATGGCATCTGGGGGTACCGAACTCTCAAAAGAAAGAAGAGTTCTAAGTGAAAGGCAAGTGGCCAGTGAGGAAGAGTGGCTGGTGTGTTGAATACTTCAATCTCAGTCTTAACTCCTTCCCCCCCAGTACAGAGCTGCCCGTGAGAGTTAACAACAGCAGCACCTCGTGCAGCTTCCATCGCTGGTCTGCCCCGCAGTAAACACAAAGTGAACGTGGCAGCCTAGAGGGAGGAATTCTACTCCAAGTGCCAAGAAGACCCAGCCTGGGGGCCCACCTGGACAATTCCTTCTCCAATTTCTTGAGTAAATTGCTTCTCTTCCCCAAAGCTTCCCCTTCCCCGTGATAAGGTAATAGTGAGGCCAGTCCTTGGCAAAGGACACCGTGCTTGGAAGAGTAGAAGGTCCTCCAAGAGATAAAGTGACACAGTGAGTGAAGCAATGAGCTCCAACACAGCAAGGACTTGCAGACACGATCAGACAGGGTTTATTCTGTTGTACACAGGCTGCTATTGAAACAGAGCAAACACACCTGGCCCTGAAATAGGATGAAGGTCAGACAGGCGCCACCCTAATGGCCTTCGAGTCTTAGACATCAGGACCTTCCGATTCTAGAGGCCCACAGCCACCTCGCTCTTGGGCAGCTCGAACAATACCATAACCAACAGCAGAAACAATGATGTCCACCACGGTCAATCTCATCTGCCTCAAAGTGGAACTAGGAAGGTTTGTCTAATTGCAATTCTCTGATTAAATCCACTGGGTGCCACTGAAGACAGCTTCTAACTTCCAAAGGAATCTGGGTTTGGAAAGGAAGAAACCAGCATTTGTCGCTGACCAGGAAGATGCCAATGACATGTTTTCACTGTTAACCCAACTGAAATCTCATAAGCTTAATGGTAAATTGGATGAAACCACACAGAGGTTAAATCTATGTCCTAAGTCCAGAAACCTGAATGACCACATTCAGAAAGAGGGTCTTTGCAAGTTAAAGACCCTGAGGTGAGAGCCACCTGGACCGTCTGGGTGGGCTCTCTGTGAAAAGACAAATGGTCTGCGTCCTTCTAAGAGGAAGACAGAAGGGACGTAAGATGCACAGAGCAGAAAGCCATGTAAAGACAGACACCGAGAACCAACAGCCTTCAACAGCTCACTCAGAACCTTCAGAAACAATCAAGCCTTCTGGCACCTTCCTTCTGGACCTCATGCCTCCAGAACTGGAAAACAATGCCATTCTGTTGCAGTAAACCACCTAATTCTGGTCTTTTGTCTTTGCAGCCCTAGGAAATTAAATGCCATCACTAGAATGGAGAGAAGCACCATTCTATCAGTGGTGAGCAAAGGAAGGTTCACTAAGGCCAGAGTAACACGACCAAATCGACTCCAGGCCCCAGGTGTCAGCTGACAAGCCAGCTATCCTTTCCATAATAGCAGGACGCCTTCTACAATCTGTGCCTCTCCGCACACTCACTTCACACAGGAGGGAAGCATTCAGACCACCACTAGAACTCAGAGCTTCAGCTCCCCTCGACGAACTTAACGCAAAGACATCTTGCCTCCTGGAGCCAGCTGTTCTGGGGGAGCGAGTTTTATCATCGCCACAATTACTGAAACACGGGCCTTCACACTCATTTCCCCTTACGAGTAACTGGCTGCAAGTACTGGTGTCAGTTTTAATGAGGATCAAGTCGGGCTCCTAAAAAGGCCTCCCTTAAAGGAAAGCATTTCCCTCCCACACAACAATGGCTGGCTGTTTAATGCCAGAACACCAGAGTGTCACTTAAATTACACGGCTTTTACATGAAAGTGCTGATGGGAATGCTTTCCCAGGGAGGAATTTCAATAAAAAAGACCTCATTTGATGCTTCATCATATCTGAACCACAAATCTGCGTATCATAGCAACAAAAGTAAAACCTCAGAGGATGTGCAAAAGAACAGGACATCAATGTCATTGGGAAAGTGTTTCTGGTTTTCTGTGAGGCTGAGAGGTAGCTGGTCTCACACACGGATGTATTCAGTGGAGACCTGAAGGCCGCCACCGAGGTCTCACCCCAGCATGAATCCTTTTTGTTTCTACCTGTAGATTCTGCCGACCAGCTCGGAAAGTCTACAAGGGTCTCTCCGATGGAATCCGTTCCTTCCTAACGATGAGGGCATCTTCAGGTTGGCAGCTGAGTGCTTAACCACTGGGCCACCAGGCCTCCCCTAAAGCCATTACGAGGGGCTTCGAGCAAAGACAGAGCATCTCACCCCCGTCGCTTACTGAAAACGTCCTCTATGCCACTGACTTCTGGCTCCTCTTTATAAAGACGGTTTGGGGCTTGGAAAATGATTGAAGCTGAGCTTTAATGGATATTCCTAACCAGCATTGTGTCATTATTGGCCCACGTTTCGCTGGGCGGTTGCCCAAGCTTGTGACATAATCAGACCTCTCTCTGCATTACTCCATACACTCCAAGCTCCCTCCACATTACACCGCTGAATCATCTGCTTTTTTCAACAAGACTCATGCCAGGGGATTAACATTAGACAGCGCAATTCCATTATTCAGCAGTCCAGTTGAGATCCCAGCCCTCAACTCTGAGAGAGTTCAGGGCTTCAGAGCAGGCCTGCCAGGAAGCTGATGGAGGCGGGACGAGGGGCTATTGAAGGTTTTACAAAACAACCCGACCCAAACCTGCTGCAAGCAAGAGCTCTGGCCGAGGGGGCCCAGAGATACAGTGTGGTGATTGCCTGGATCAGCTCCAACCAGTCTTAATAAACAGTTGGAGAAGCCGTAAACCCATAGGACTACTAGAGCATAATCATTTTAGTCCTGTTATAAATTATTTAAATGTAAATTAGATATTGAGAACTTGCAGCCAAAAGTCTAACTCTGTTTCCTTACATGGAAACACTTTCAAGTTACATCCAGTTTCCGTGAGGCTCAAAGTGAAATCAACTTCAGGTGCTTTTCAATCAATGGATTTACAGTGTGCATCAGTGCCAAAGAAGCTGAGAAAGTCAACTGAAGGGAACAAGCCACTTCAATAGCACGAGAGGTGTGTGTCACGGCTGTCTCCTTTACTGCACCTACTCTATCTGTATGTGGTGCAAATAAACTCAAGAAGCTGGATGGTATGGAGAAGGACAGAGCGCTGGGAGCGGAGGGAGGCTCACCAGCCGCCTGTGATGAATGGGCTATCCAACCATGCTCCTTGTTCGCTTACACACAACAGAAGTCGAGTCTGTATCCTGGTCACTAAAACGGCACGGACTGAGACTTCATTTCATTATGCTTGATAGAAAATCAAATTGGTTTTCTGCTTCATTTTCAATTAATTTAGCATTTCACTTAACCAAGTCTATGCAACTCGGTTAATCAAGCTTCTGGGAAATTTCTGAACGGAAGTCCAAGTAATTCAACTGTCCATGGGGTCTCTCTCTTCAAAGAGCTTATACTTTAGTGAGAGAGTAGAAATGTTCACACCTGAACTCCCACCAGAGGACATGCATGCATGTGAAGCTGTGGGGAGTGACCGGGGTTACAGACGCACAGTAGGTGGGCATGTTTGTGGAGTCACAGAGGAAGGTATCAGGCAAGATGGCGAGGGCTGAGCTTCGAGATACGTCCAAGGCAAACGTGACACAGACAATGGCAACGTCGTAGAACAGGAACTGGCAGCAGAGGTCAAAGAACAAGAGACCAGCTGTGAGTCCTGGGCTACAGCCGGATGAAAGAAAGATGGCTCCTCCACAGAAAGGCATCTAACCTCCCCATCACTCCTGCAACAAGATGGGCTTAAACCACAAACATATTCAAGGTGGTTTCAGGAGCTTTGGTGGTATGGTGGTTAAGACATTCAGCTGCCAACCAAAATGTCAGCGGTCCAAACCGCAGCTGCATCATGGGAGAAACACATCTGTCTGCTCCCTCTAAGATTACAGCCTCGGAAACTGATGAGCGGTTCCCTTGGGTCCTGTAGGGTCACCAGGAACTGGGAAGGACTTGAGGCCAGTGGGCTTGATTCAGTTAGCACAGTTCTCCAAGGAGAGGCCTGGTCCAGAGGACATCAAGCTGCTAACCCAAATTCCAAGCTTCTCTGGGGACTTCAATCCACCAGCCATGGGAGAGGGACAGGCCATGTTCTCCCGTGCGATTTACCATCTTAGCAACCAGGAGGGGCATCAGCCGTGGGTCACCTCCAACCCAAGGGCAAGGGATTTGAGTTTTTGAGTTTGATAGTTCTACAGGTTATCAATCCACCAGCCACACAGAAAAAGGAACTTTCCTCAAAAGTTACAAACCCCCCATGATAGGCAAGGTTCAGGGAGAAACCAGAGCTTTTAAATCAACAGCCTGAGTGGGGGTCGATGTTGAATAAAAAAGGTGATGTGACTTACGCATGTGGATAAAAGGCCGTTTGTAAGCTCACAGATACAGTTTACTTTCTATGAAGGAAAAAAAAAACACAAACAGACAGACAAGCCATTTGGAGCATCTAAGAATTTCCTTCTCATGGAACTGAGGAGTTCTCTGACTTGAACCTTGTCCCTGTGAGCCCTGGGCCCGGTCACCAGGACACCCTCCCCCGCTCCCTGGCAGCTTACACGATTATCTTGCTTTAGCTAACGCAGTCTTTCTCGTAAAAACATGGTCCTCTGTGACAATCGTGGACCCTCCCCTGCACCTGCCAACGGTTTCTGAGCGGGGAAGCTCAGCATATGTGGCATGTCAGCACACATCATCCCGCATCCTTCCTACCAGATGACGCCTGGGGAGCAGAGGATCTCAGCAAACACGCAAAACTCCACTCATGCGTGGGGACAGAGAGCACCGGCACATGACAGAGGATGCCTTCGTGAATGACAGCTGTGCTGGGAAAGGATGAAGGCGCCCCGCGCTCCCCTAGAACCCTGGAGGAGAAGGCGCCCCCGCGCACGGTCCCACGCCAGCCAAGCGAAGCGGCAACTCACCGACTACGTCCAGGTGGTAGGTGTGGTTGATGGAGCCGTACACGTTCTCCACCACGCATGTGTAGTTGCCCTTGTCCGACGGAACCACGCTCTCCATGATCAGGCTCCAGTGCTGGTTTCGGACCTGAGAAGATCAAGGCAATGGTGTGACTTAACCTGGATCAGGACCACCGGGGCCTCTGCCTTCTCGATCCAGAAAGAACCTGGGGAGGGGCGACGGCCCAGCACCTGCACCTGAATTCCACATTTTCCTCCTAGCAAACACTCGGAGTTTGGACAGAGGAAAATGGTAATCATCACCTCAGTGGATGAGTACCAGGCAGAGGCTGAAACACTCAGATAAGCAGGGGTGTTTCTGTCACTGTCATGGATTGGACAGTCCCTCCAGAAGTGACCATGAGTCCTGAACCTCAGGGCAGGGGGGGCACCACATCTCTCTGCCTCCACCCCCCTTCTCCTGGGACCATCTGGAAATGGCCCTCCTGCTATTGTTTACTGTCACCAATCCAGCCTGACTCGGTGATCAAATGAAGCAAAATGGGGCCCAATCCCTTAGCATCCCCAGACCGTTTTAATCCATCAAGCCTGATGTCAGAAGGAGTAGCCAGGCCTTTCTCCCTGGTTCATCTTAACGTAGACTCTCTACTGAAGCCTGCTCACAACAAGCTGGCACTGACCAATGAGGTGTTGGCTGTGCCATGAGGTGCAATGGCCAGGAATCGAACCTGGGGCTCCCGCATGGAAAGCGAGCATTCCGCCACCACTGAGCTGCCAGTGCTCACAGGACACACACCCTCACAATCCTCAAGTGGCCTGCAATGCAGCACAACCCACCACCAGGTATGCAAGGTGGAGACAGATGGATGAATCTTCACAGGAGCAAACTGCCTCTTACTTCTCCTGCAGTGCAGCTGGTGGGTTTGAACCATGGACCTTTCAGTTCTCAGCCCACCGCATAGTGCACTGCACCACCAGGGCTCCTCCGAACAGACGCTGAAGAGCATATTAGTCCACACTGGGGGCTGTCCTGAAATGCCCTTCCATCTTAACTAATGAAATCTTCACAAGGAGCCCCCGAGGCATGTGCTCTTGGGTGCTTCCCATTTGAGAGCCCTTCATTTTTCACCCCCAAGGCTTTTCGCACCATCTGGACGTCACAAGATGCCCCATCTGGACAGCAGGTCTACCTCTTCCGCCCTTGGGTACAGACTGAGCAGACATTCCATACTCCTCAGAGTCCCAGGATTCCAAACCTGAGTGCTGACTCCCTGGAAAGCTGAAGCTGCGTATCACCCCTCAGCGAGTCCCAGGGACAGTTCACAGGCAAAGCACCTGAAGGCAAGTCCCTGCCTCCACTTCCCCCAGTCAGCTCACCGAGCAGACTCCATCCCCATCCTCCTTCCTCCCCTGAAAACATCCCAGCAAGTCCAGCTCCTCCAGCTTGATAGTCCCTTCCAAGAGGAAAACGCACGGGGCCCTGCTGGTGCAGAGGGTAAAGAATTCGACTGAGAATTGCTAGGTCAACAGTTTAAACCCTGTAACTGCTCTGAGACAGGTTGAGACATGCTGCTGGCAGAGATGAGCTTTCATGACTATGGAATCAGCACCGACTTGCCGCTGACCCTCCAGGAGGTTTCTGGGGGCTCTAGGCACCGTGAGAGGAGATGGCCCATTTTTATCCCTCAGAGCAGCTGGGGGATTCGAACCACCAGAAGAGCCCACTTTGGGGTATGTCTTTGCTGACTCCACCAGCAGAGCTGGTTCAGACTGGTGCAGCCTGGACCTCCACGGGCCGTCGATTCTGTACTGTCAGGTGCCTAGGAGTTAGGTCTCCTGGCTCGCTCCACCGAGTAAGGGCAAAATGCAGATTTCATGCTGAGGGTTTGAGACTTCACTGTTTCCACTCAGATCCAAGCCATTCTTTGAAAGTGTTCCAGATAGGACACGCCTCAGAAATGGAAAGAACCCCATTTCAAGCAGCCAGAGCCCACTAATCTTCCCAATCATCTCAGAAGCATCGGCTAACCTTCTGCACGTCGCCCTGAACACAGCAGGGCTTTCTGTCTTCACCACATTAAACCGCTAACCCGCTCAGAGTCTCAGCACACACAGGGACAATCCTGGAGCCTAAACCAGAGAATGCACTTGGTTATGTCAGGACAGCTGCTGCGTCCACGTCGGATGCCCACATCACAACGACCACATCAATTGGGGGGGGGGCACCAGAGCCACCACACATAGCTACCTCCCTGCCCAGTTCTCCACAAGGCTGGCTGCAGATGGGCATTCCCAAAGCCACATTCAAAGCCAAGATCGCAGTCGTGGCAAGGATGGAGGGGGATCTCGTCTTCTTAGTGAGGTGCAAGCGGAGTCAGGTACATTCTAGAAGCCACGGCCTTTCACTGACCCCCTAAGGGATCAGGGAGAGGCAGGTGTACTGTCCAGCTTGGTGGGACCAGTGGTGAGAAACTGAGCCTCACCACCGCAGGTGAATCGCTTGGTGTCTGAGTGAATCCAATCAAGGGTGTCTGCACCTTATGTCAGTGAAGACTCCCCTTCTGCTTTTGGCTTGTCCATGGACTTGAACAAGACCTCAGTCAAGGTGCTGGGTGTCCTCTGCAGTTCCTGGGGAACACAGTTTACACTTGAATTACTACTCTGAAGCTAAAAGTTGGTGATAAAACCTACGCAGGGACTCTGAAGGCGAACGCCCTGGTGGTCTTCCATCAACATGGCCCCAGGGAACAGACCCGCTTCATAACACACAGGCAGGCCAGGAGTCAGAAGTACCCTGCAGGACCGTGTTTGGCTGAGGGGGTTCTGTGTTGCCACTGAAGAGGGCAGTACCTCCCATGCCACATGGGCACAGGGGTTTCTGAAGCCAATCTAGCTGCTTCATGGCCCAGGGCAGCGTGGATTCTGTCTAAACCCAGCTCCAGCGCCCTCACTGGGGGTCCAGTGCTCCAAGAATTCAGAAGAGGAAAGGGCTGCCCCTTCACTTCCCCACAGGGAGATGGGTCCTCTTAGGGACCCCAGGCCCACCCCAAGCTCTCAAGCAGAGAAGAAACAGGGCAAGAGCCTGGATTTTTCGCTCCCTCCATGAGAGTTTCTTAGCCTCTGTTGAACCAGTCACGTGGAGAATAACATAGGGATGAAGCCACAGACCCTGCAGTCCCCAAGTCACACAATCCAGCATTGAGCCCTGCTGTAAATATTCAGTTCTTTGAGCCCTCGCTCAAATGTCATGCCCATAAGCCCTTAATCGTGGCTGGTGCCTGGCCCTGGCCCCCCGCCAAGCTGTCGATGTCTTTCTTTTGCCTGGATCCAGACCTGGCGCACAGCGTGTTCCAAACGGAGCTGAACCTGAACTGTGCAGGGACAGGAGAAGGGACGCCCTCTGCTCGCTCCCCCAGCACTAAATCCTGGCATCTGCAGCCTGCTCAGTCCATGCCTTCTGTAACCTCAGGCCGCTCCAGTCTCACTGGGGAGCTCACATTCCACTCGGGATCCCTCCTGTGCTCTCCAAATATTTGCAAATATTAATAAGTTAACATTTGAACAATGTTTCTACAAAGAGAAGCACATTCGGCAAACAGGATGTTTTCATCCTTCCAGAGACCTTGGTGCTCAATCAATATGGCCCCACACAGAGCTGGAGGTATCCATGAGGCTCTGACTGGCGGCTGTACCATCCATCCCAAGTTCATGTGTCATGCCATTTTACAAATGCAGGTCCTCAGAAACCCCCAGAGTGGACTGCTAGACTTGTAGAATCTACCACAATATGAATTAGCTGTTACTTAATAGCAAGTTCAGAGACTACAAACAGTAAGAACAGAGATACAAAGTATTCTCTTCAGAGACTCTCTGGTGTCCAGCCCAAAAGTTTGTGGTTTGAATTCACCAGATGCTTCACAGGAGAAAGAAAATCTTCTCTTGTGCAACTCACAGCCTCTGAAAACTTGCTGGAGGGTCTGCTTCATAGCTGACTGGCTCCTACTTAAGGGCATATAACAACATTTCTATAAGAAGAAGGCTTGATGGTGTTGTGGTTGAAGAACTCTGCCATTAACCAAAAGGTCAGTGGTTCAAACTCACCAGCAGTTCTGTGAGAAAAAGATGGGGCAGACAGCTTCTGTAAAGATTTACAGGGGGGATGGGGGAACCCTAATAAAATACAGTTACAGCCTTGGAAACTCTGGGCAGTGTTCCTCCACCCTGCAGGGTCATCTGGTAGCATAGTCCATACAGGGTTCTGCTGCTAATGCAGAAGCTGCAGCTCTCAGGTGGTTCAAATTCACCAGCAGGTCCATGGGAAGAAGATGGACTATATCCTGTGCGATTCATAGCCTTGGAAACCTGCTGGCAGCTCAGTTATGAGTCGGGTCTGACTTGATGGCATTGAGGTGAGCACAGGGTCACTACAGTATAGAGCTGACTTTGACAGCAGTGAGCAGAGGTTTCCATGCTAAGATGTAAGGGGAAACCCCAACGATCCATCCAAAGAAAGAGTAAGATGTCCCTAACACATGTTTGTCGACATTCCTCAGCTTTTCAGGGCCACAATTCTCCCCCCAGCTAGATCAAACGCACCTCAGCTTTCTCCAAAGAGGAAATGCAAATAGTCAATAAACATGATGAAAAGATGAGTAACTTCATTAAGGATCAGAGAAATGCAAATTGAAATAATGAAACATTCTGAATCACTCGCTGATGAACACAAAAAAAGATCCGTGACGTGCAGTACTTTGGAAGGCGGGGGAGAGCGCAGAACTCAAACGGAGGACGAGAACACGAATGTGTAAGTTTGCATGTGTGTGTACATTCAATTCCGTACTGCAAAAAAGCCACTGAGCACACCTGTCCCTCTAAGTGTGTACACACCCCTGAGTTGATAAGCACGTAAGTAAACATAATGAAAACTGGGGGAAAAAGGTACCCAACTGCCCACAAAGTCCTTCATGTGATGGAGTGTTGAGATGACCGTGTTGCTTGGCCTTGTCTCATCTTCACTTTGCACGTTTAAACAACAACAAATCACACATAGAAAACACTGGCAAATACACTGACTGGCTCTGTGGGCAAAATCACAGCAGCAGAGGCACTGAAGGGCTGGACTCCTCA